GGGGAGGGGGGGGGGGGGAGATTGTATATCCGATGAGATCGGTAAGAGTGCGTTATCGAATACGGTGAAGACACTTGGTTCGTCATGGTTCTAAACGTATTCGCGTTAGATTATGTACACGTAGCTCACGATTTACATATACCAATGTTCGCGTTGAACGTTGAAGCCGGTTAGGCGTAAGACCGAAGAAAAAGATCGACATAGAAATTCGCATCGAGCATATCCTCTTTTATTGTAAAAAAAAATATATATATATATATTGTTCTGTGAGTGTACGGATATGTGATTTCCGGATGATGCGAGGGAGAGAAAGAAAGAGAGAGAGAGAGAGAGAGAGTTTTGAGGAAATTCTTTCGTCGAAGTATTAAATACGATAAAGATATACGATAAATATCACACACAATATAAATATATAAATAAATATATATATACATATATTTATAGGGAGAACAATGAAACGAATAGATGGACTCATTAAATGTTCTTTATCTGTATACTGTTCGTGGATATCTTAATTAGATAGATAACGAAGTACGTTAAACGAGTTAAGGCCAGAACGCTGACGCAACACTATTACGAATACAATGAATCTGTACGATTCAAAAGCACGGTACTATCGATGCAGTCAATATCCAGTTGCGGGCGTTCCGTTTTTTGGGATTTTGTCGGCACATCCTCGATTCCCGTCAAATTATAAATGTCGTTGTAACCAGAAGATCTATCGATATAATAGCGTGTATATTGTATAATCGATTATTTATCCGCGGTTGCTCGAATGCTTGGATCTGGACTGCGGCCGAAAGAGAGGAAAGGGGGAGGGGGGGTGGGAGGGTCAGGGGAAAAATTAGAATTCATGTAGCGACGATATGTCTACGCAGCGTGCGCAGTGTTAGTCGACAGAAAGCCCGTTGTAGAAGATTTTGCAACGAAACACAATTTCTCGCAAGCGATTGACCAAATTATATATATGGTAGACGAGATCTTCAGTTCTCTCATTAGAGCGATATTTTCGTTCGGGCCTCGCGCACACATCGCCGGATAGCGCTTATCAAATCGCAGGTTATCGCATGTAAATGCCTTTTACTCTCGCCTTTAGTATTTCGCCTATGTTTTTCTTCCCGTTCGGTTTCTCCTATTTATTCTATTTAACGCTACGTTTTTTTTTTTGCGCGAGAGAGGATTGACAGAGGACCGATTTTTCCAGTACCGATTCGTGATTTTTTTTTCTAGATCGCGATATTCTTGCTAGTATAAATAGCGATGAAAGATCTGGTTGACTGCAATTGACGCTAGTCGGCAGAACTATTGGCAGAACCGAGTCCCAAATAGAGATTGTAGCTAATATTGTAGATACTGAGTTTTTATATCGATCATGTTTCACACGCGAATGTTTTCTCTTAGCGGTTTTTTTTTTCTAAGAGTAATTATTAATCATTTTCATTCTCGTCGTGTCGATACCTTCAGTTCCGCCAGCGCGTACGTATATCAATGAGTATATAAATAGATGTATTCATACCGGTAGGATAGTTGAGAGAAAGCTTTTCCGAGTATGGTCGCGAAGGGAACGAATATATTTCTGTAAAGATTCGACGTGAAGTATTTGTGTGAAGTGAGAGAGAAAAAAAAAAGTTAGTAGCGTCGCTCGGGCGGATGCAGATGCGAGGCGGAGGAAGCGGCCAGATATATCCGCCGGGGTTGGTATCAAATGAATCGCTTCCCTTCCTTCGTCGATGTACATTTCCGTTTTTCGTTCGTTTCGCTCTCTCTCTCGATTTGATTTCACAACTTCGCGTAGTCGGGGGACATATTTTTGTATAATATAATACGAACGAATATAATAGGATCTTCTCTGAGCGTAACCGGCCGCCGCCCGCGGGGACAGTTAGTCTTGTAAAAATCGGTAGCTACAAGTCGAGCCTCGACCGCAGAGATCGCGCAGAATTCTTCAAGGTTCGCCGGTAGCTCTAGAACGATGAGTCGCGAGTCGACGCGATTATTATTAATGATAGTATCAAACTCTCAATATCATTAAATAATATTAGAAGGTAATATTATTGATAATGTTATTAATACTATTTATCGAGCAAGAAGAAGTTCGTGCAGTTTTGTCACAGATGTGTTTAGGCGAATTTTAGCGGTAGTAGAATTGAAACACGTTGAAGAAAGTACACATTCTGATTGCACGCTGGCTTCATGAGTAAATATAATTTACCGTTTTTTTTATCTCTGAAAAATCGCATGATATTCTTCGCTTCGAATCTCGTACGGTCATTCCTGCATCGAGCTAAAATGCTCCATTACATTTAAATATCTCTTTCGCGCTTCATCGCGTTGTACAATACTGCTCTCGATTCTTTTTCCCCGTTCGATCGATATCGCGCCTAAAGCTATCGGCGACCGAGCGCAACAGGACAATATTACGTATATATTATTATCGTATTATAGGATGGTGTGAGACGAGATAATTCAACTGTATTCTATCTCTTTCGCTGTAAACTAGGAAGATATTCTTGTCGCAACTTCTTACCGGCCCCGTATAGTTTAGGTAAAAACCTCCCGGCCGTGTAAGGATAAACACTGTACATTGTACGCTGTATATTATTAGTATTTATGGAGGGGATTATTTATCGAAAGTAAAAAGACGGCCGACCAGCTAGAATCCCGGGATATTACGAAAGAGAAAAGGTAGTGAAAGTGAAAAAAAAAATCGACACCACATCGTAGTTTTTCTTGTTTTTCATTGCAATCTAATAGAGATGCCTTGTTGCTCCAAGAACGGCTTGTCGCGCTTCTCGTTTTCTTCTCAGAAGAAAGACACCGGCAGAGAAAGTTCGGAATCTCCGAGAAAGGGATTTACTGTTATTTAGTTTTAACATAATTCCATTTCTGCTCTTGCATATATATATGTGTATAAATAGAATGAAAGAGAGAAGAGAGAAAGAGAGATCATCGATCATGAGGCAAGATCTCGATTCGGAACGCGAGAATTATTTCGAGATACGCGTACACGCACGTATGCGATGATTTGCAAAATCGATCAAGTGTTTCAAAAATTATTTGTAAAGTCTTATTTACATTTACATTTATATTTATTTTATACATAATTATACATAATTTGCGCGCACAATCTTATGTAATGTAATATACAAGTTACCAAATTCGTTATATGCTCTGTTTTTTTTCTCCTTTCTTTCTCTCTCTTTCCTCTTCATTATACTGTTTTTATTAACTTTTTTTAAAATATCGAGTTTTTAAAACATTCGATCGAATGAAATTTTGAGTGAATAATTATTGTAAGTAGAAAATTGTTACTCCGATCTATTTACGCTGTAAATTGAGTGGCTGGCGAGTCGAGATTGTAAATCGTTAAACTGAAATGAGGCGAATGTTTATCGTCGAAGCGGAAAGAAATCGTCTACTTTGTAATGATATTACGCAATATACATGTGCATATACAGCGTGATGTACTATAATTTATTGTCGATCATTACTCGTGGCGTCGATTATTGGTAGGCGGGGCGCGATGATCCACCGCCGTTAATATGATTTTAATAACAGGGCAGAAACGATCCACGGAATCGTTTGAGCGCGCAATGACGAGCCGACAATGCCTTCTCGTTGTACAAATGTCGAGGGAGATGAAGGAATGAAAGGAAACCGCAAACCGCGATCGTGGTGTCAGAGTATCTCTTTGGCGGCGTGTAGCTTTGTAAGATATAAACACAAATCAGCATAGTCTTTGCTGTAATAGGGAAAAGGAGAAATGAAAAAATATATGTAGAGATTCGTAGATAGTGCAAAGAAGATTATACATATATATATATATATATATATATATATATATATATGTATATGTATATATATGACATATGTGTGCTACATTCACCAAAATCATGCATGTTAGCATGCGAAGCATAATCGAATGGCGATTAAAGTCGTAATTTGGACGAGACTGAGATAAATTTAATGGATAGCTAGATAGTTTAATTGACATAAGTTAACAATAAATTAGCTATTAATAGTATAATTCTAAATTTATTATATCTTATTTATTTCTTTGAATAAATTATACATATTTTGTATATTTCAGAATCATGAGAAGACTTTTAAAAATTTGCAAATTAAAAAAAATAAATTATAAGGGAATTGATCGAAGTTTATCAACCCCTTTTTTTTCATCAATTAATTCTCGAACGCAACGGAAAGAATGAATATTAAAATCTTGATTTTTAATTAATCTTCAGTTGTATTTTGACATAAGATTTAATTAGATTCTGGATTTGAAAAATAAAAATCTAGAGAATTATTCTAAATTCATTATATTGTTGCAAAATTTGAAATGTCCCATGATTCTGTAAAAGTCGCGCAAATAACGCAGATGCAACCACTGCGACTTTGTTGTTCGTTGTAGTAATGTCTCCAATGCACGCGATATTGATTTTTTTTGTAACATTATAATTGTCCCAACAAGCGGACTAATTTAGAAGGAAAAAAGACGATTCTTCGACATTGCGGACACATCGAGGCATTTTGTCTCGCTATTATCTCGTCCGAGTTGGACGACTGTAGTCGTCATGCGGTCACCTGCTTTCACGTTCGATCACACGCAAACACGTGCTTGGTGATGATGATCAGGGGCAAGCGCGAAATATATCATTATCCTGCGTTCAAACAATAAAACGAAAGGGACCGCTCTACTTTCTATAATGTACCCGGCGTTTAATTGTAAGATATATAGTTCGCGACGGATTTATCGGATTTAGAGAGGTATAATATACGAGGAGAGACGATTTTGCTTCCAAATGCGTTGGACGGGTTCAGCTTGAAGTCTTTTATTCCGCTTATTCACTCCCTATGTGGCACGTTATCGAAGGGAAACTCGGCGGAGGGCAGCGATAAAAATCGAGAAGTGCAGGCTCTCGCTACGCGGAATTTATTTACGGTGAAGAAAAAAATCGATCTAATCCCGGAAAATTCAGATATCGGATAATGCATGATCGTCTGAGGATGATCTCCGTCTTTAGTCGTTTTAAAGGAACGTAACGAGATACGTTCCACGTTGCAGCATTGCGACTCGGTCTCTCCCAGATTACATCGGTTTTCCGATATTCGTTATTTACGCTTGAAAGCTCGGTGTATTCGTTATTCGCGCGCTCCGGGAGTTTTTAATTATTGAGGCCGCGCGCGCCCGAGTTAAGTTTGGCATGTTTTTTACTCATTGCGTGAAGCGCGCAACGCGAATAGCATAAGGTAACGTTATGTCGTGTGAAACGGGACGTCTTGAGAATGGCGTCGCGGAAAGTACACATTCCAGAGAAGCGTTTTTCCTCCTATCTCGCGACAAGGCACGGTACGGTGCATGTCGATTAATTTTTTGCAAATCAAACTTCTAGCATGCCATAATCTCGTTTCGTTCCGTTTTCCTTTTTATACCACCCTTCCTCATCCACCCTCAAGTGCAAATAATGCAAACGATGTCGAACGATGTTTAACGTTTGATGTCTGCGTATGTAATGGTAATAATCGTTGCTGTAGATTCTCTCGAGAGAGGTAATATACTTATATTGAATTATTATTTACGATTATTATTTGTGACATACTTTATATTATATTATCATTAATGCCAATTACACACTGCAGATATGTTGTTGTAATATTTACTATGTAGCACATCAGTGGCGTTTAATAGAGAATATTTATTGAAATTATTTACCATAAAAATAGAAGTTGTACATTAGTTATATTAAGAGCCTGTTAACTAATCGAATTATCATGGTCCCATTATTATCCTCAAAACCTTTTGTGTGAGCAAAACGTATAGATAAATTATCTTGTCCGACCTCTAAATTTATTATTCCAGTTAGGAAGCGATCAAAAAGTAAATAAGTTCTACAGTACATTATTGCAAACACCTAATTATTCGTAAATGAATCTTATTTTGTGTTTCAAAGCACCATATTTTCCTTGTCAGTTAAAGTGCTTAAAAGTATACGTTCGGTGGTATATGGTGCATCTAAAAAAAATTACAAATTATACATGAGAATATACATCATAATAATATTTTATAGGAAAATTTGTATTTACATATTAATTTTTTTAAATGGAATTTTTAAAGAAGCTTTGAGTCACCTAATTCTATGTCCTGATATAACATTTGTAACTTTTCTACTACAAACAAAAGCAGTTAAATGTGTGCTTGTCGTCTGGCTTTGAATAATACATTGTATAACATAATATCAATTGAGAATTCAGATTCGTATAATAGTTTCAAAGAAACAGTAAAAAGGAACTGCAAAATTAAAATAATTTTTTAGTACCACTCGAAATACAATGACGACTAAACGATTTGCACTTATTCCGAAATTTGTAGAAGTTAATTCAGGCCATAAAATTAGGTAATTCGTATTGTATACATTGGCAAATATGTTTTACATATTTTTGCTTAACACTTACCCATTCGATACCAATCGTCCGTATTCCCCGCTTCTGCCCTAGCAGAATCCAATGCATTGCGAATAGCGATCGGAACTACGCAACCCATACAAATCGGTGGTTCACCCGTAGCTACATAAAAAGTTTCACAATTAATCTTTTAATTCTTTCAAATTTGTTATTTCTTATGCTACACAAATTTTTTTTTATTTTTATAAATTGTTTTTGATTTTATTCAGCTCATTTAAATTTAATTATGATTTAGTGAAACATAAACTTTGTAACCTTATTAAACTTTTACAGATTAGATAATTTTTGCAAAAAAATTGACAAAATTTTTTCAATTAAACATAAATATGAATTGAATGAAAGGCTTTATAGGATTTTCGATCTTACCTTTTGAACCAAATAGACCAACTGGGTTTTGCGAATTTTTGCGTAAAGACACGCGGAAATCTTCAGGAATATCCTTCGCTCCTGGCGGTTTATAATTCTACGAGAAAAATAGAATATATTTTAGATAATTTAATTACTTACAGGTTTCTAGGATATCTCGGAATTGGAGCAGTTGCATTTGAGCAATATTAGCTTTACCCAAATTTGATGAAAATAACATACCCATGTTCTGTTATTCGTTAATACTCCTGTTTTAGGATCGTATACCAGATCCTCAGAAGTCCAGTATCCTATTCCCATCACGAAAGCTCCCTCCACTTGACCGACGTCGATCTCCGGATTTAAGGCGACACCGGCGTCTTCCATCACATCAACTCTTCTGATAATGTGCTGGCCGGTCAGCAAATCGATCTCCACTTCGGCGATAGTGACGCCGTAAACGCCGTAAGACTCCAGATTCTTCGTATCCTTCCTGTCAAGGTAAGTAGAATATGTAATAATTGTTGACTTGTACACTAATAAAAAATTGTCTCGTACTATTTTAATAAGTAAAAAATTTTAATCTACATTTTTATATCGAAATCATAGCAAAAGCACGTGTTAAATATGTTTAACTTTAATTATGAAAAATGCGAATGGAAAATTTAAATTTATTTTTTACCATCTACTTATTAGAAACAAAAGACAATTTTTTTACAAAGTGAAAGTACAATATTTTTTAAAATATGTTGAAATGCTTCATAACGGTTCTTCACATAATATTTTCATATAATAATTCATATTTGTAATTAATACGTCAAATATGACATTTACATGTAATATGCGCATAAATCAATGTCCTTTTGATACGCCATAAAAACGAGATCCTTCCAGCTCGTATTATCCATTAGCTTTTTTATTGGTTCGAGTCTTTTCAAAATTTCTTTGCAAGCTTGGATCGTTGCCTAGAATAAATACAATAATCGACGTTACATTAAATTTGATATTGTGCAGATATCATACCGTCTTTGAAAGATAGAAATTGAATTTAATTCTTACGTATCCGCAAGACGCGGTAGAAATGTTACTCCCTGTAAATACATTGTTCGGTGTTGCTAAATTATTGCTTGGTTTAACGGAGATCAATTCGAGATCGATTTCCAATGTACGAGCTGCTATTTGAGCGATCTAATGCAAGAATGATTTTTAAATAGTTAGAACTATGTAGTCTTTTCTTTTTATTAAATAGAAATTTCTTTCAATTTAAATCAGTCTACAAAATAATTAATTTTTATTGAAAATATAGAAAATATATATCTATAAGAATAAAAAGAAACATGCGAAAAGTCTTGGAAATAGCAAATATCATAATTCCAGTCCTAATTTTCAAAATATCTAAATATTAATTTTATCGAAATGGATTTTTTTCTAATTAATTTTCATTCGTCCGTCAGCTTATCGATCACTCAACAGTAGAATGAAAGAATTTGCTTGTATAAATTGCATTTTCATACCTTGACAT